TTCAAATTTTCTTTTGTTTAGATGTTTAAAGAACAGAAGAAAAAGTAAATTGTAAAGATTATTATTGCTTAAGGATATTTAAAACTTCATATTTATATATTAATCATATAATCTGCACTGGCTATTTAATCAGTTAAGATATAGATTAATTTAAAAATTTATATATAAGATAATAGAATAAAATTTTAATAATTATTAATTTTAAGGCATAAATCTACTTTTAGTGCTTCCAATTAATTATTTTGGGAGAAATTTTATTGAATATTATTAGATTACTCTAAAAATAATCATCATGGTAATACTACTATATATTAGTATTAGATTTTGATATATGCATTATATTATATATATATATATATATATATATTGAAAAGTGAATTCATTTTTCAAAAAATTAAAAACTTATTAACTCCTCAATTAAGAAAATTTAATCCTAATAAAAATATTTATTTCATTAAAATCATAATAGTTTACAAAATTTAAATTGATTAACGTAATTAAAAAAATACACTAATAAATTAAATTATATGTTATGTCAAATTTATAAATACTCTCTACATTTTTAATTCGTGATCTTTACATAAAACCCTAAAATTTTAATTATTACACCACCACAGTGGTGGTTCCAAAGTGAACTAATAGATACACCACCATATGCACCGACTCAAAGCACTAAAAAGAACCATGAAGAGAACATAATCAAATGTCAAATTTTCCTAAGCTTTAGAGATTATATATATTTTTAACATTAATAAAATAATTTCATCTCAGCACTATGATTGTAAATTCATATGTTTATATTTAAAACATAAAATAAAAATATGTAAATTTACAAATGATTTCCACATTTTTCTTTTCAAAAATTCTTTTGTTCGAACAGAGTGTGATTCAATTTTATTTGAAAATAAAACATCAAGAACAAAAAACAAAAAAAAAAAACAGTGGTTACTAGGAAAAACTACAGAGAGAACCAAGTCATTGCATAGTTCTTCATATTTCAATTTCGGTAATTGACCGAGAAAATGAACCAAGAAAGAAAAGTGCATCAAACCTTAACGAGACAGATTTTTAGAAGTGTAAAAACATAAGAATTTTCTCATTAAGGTTTCTTTGTTTGGTTCAACAGGCCGGCTCCCCGGCATGATCAATGCCTACCAAAACATCATTGCAATTTTCAAGCTGACTGAACCAGAACCACAGGCATTAGCTAGGAGAAAACTCAGCTGCAAATTCTATCTGCAGAGTACATACAGATTGCTATACAGAAATATAAGAAGTCAAGGAGGATCCAGCCTCACCAGAAGCTAAATCTTCAAGGCACTTGAACTCTCCGTAGCCAATTTAGTCACTGTAAAATTCCGAAAAAGAAGAAAAATACAGAAAAATGGCTGAGCTATGGAGGATTTGGTTTTGAAATGAAATAATATCTCTAGATAACAGATTATAAGACCTTTTTTTTTTAGTTCAGGTTATTGTAGATTGAACTCACCTATGTGAACTCCAAAACGAAGATGCCAATGAGCTATGAGCTTCTCACAAACAGTCTTAAGAGCCTATGAATGTGATGCCTTATGATTCCTACGGAAAAAAAAAGTGACAAAATTCACCACTCGAGATGGGATTTGAGTAAAATTGAAAGAGTTATACTATTGTGCCAAGAAAGCAATGTGACTCTCACTAATCTTCAAAACTACATAATTTAATGAATTAGCCAGGAGCACTAGCTCTAAGAAATCTTTAACATTTCATAATAATACAGCAACTTTGCGTAATAATTATTTAATGTACAAATTAAATGATTAATAGACAATATTGTTGAATTATTATGAAATATCAAATAATTAACTGTAAGACTACATGCCTCCGAGGCATCATACATTTCCCTATACTGAAAACTTCTATTTCAACCAGAGAAACAATAGTTTTAAGTTTCTTTTTAAAAAATCAAATGCACCCTCCATCATAAGATAGAAGGCAGGGCCCAATCCTACCCAATGCAGGTCATGCCTTAAAGAAAAAAAAAAAAGGTCCCCCTGGAAAGAAAAAAAATTAAAAGCCTATGAGAATACTGCAAATCTGTAAGGCAGATCTATGAGGGAGTTAAAATCAAAGCACCTCAATAACTGAGCATATTAAGACCTTTCCTGAATGTATGATGCAAATGCTTCTGACCACTTTTGCTTTACTGATTCTTGGACAAGAGACCCACTTGCTGAAGGACTCCATACATTTCCCCTGCTGCCATTAAAGACCCATTTTATTTTTGGAGGAGTGCTGGAAAAATCAAGCAAGGGATCTGTAACTCCCTCGCAAGGTTTATGCTTATTTCCAGACCTAGAATCTTTCAGAGACTGGAATCTCAAAAAAAAAAAAAAGAATCTTTCAGAGGCTGAAAAGAAAGCAAATTTGATACAGTCAACTATCATAGTTAGCATAAGTACATTGGTAATTAATATTAAATTCATATAACATGGATTAACTCCCAAACAGACCGTAGAAGGATTTTCAGGTTCCAAGGTCTTTGATGCTGCTTCAGCTCTTTTGGCATCGACTGGATGTTCTGGAATGATTTCCAGGGAATGGCTGTCTTTGGAGAAGGTTCTCTTTAGAGAACCAAAATTACAAAGTCCATGAAAAGAGAAAATGACGATGAGAAATACTTTTTCCTGCACAAAATGGAATAGCCGAAACGCTGAAATTATTAGTTGTCACTTACCATCAACTGATTGCCAGACTCTAATGTCTCCTGTCCAGTAGCTGCACATTCTTGTGATGCTTTCAAGCGTCTCTCAACAGCTCTAAGGGATCGAAATCGATTTCCAGTCCCTGGCTCAATGTAATACTGCAGAACAAAATAACATTTCTTGCGTTTCTAACAAAGAAAATAACAGATGTAACCACATTAATTCTTTGCCATGGCTAAGGAGAAAGAAAAGGAGAGGAAAAAAAGATGACAAACTGGAAAAGCCCCAGAAGGCATCTTAGAGAAAACCACCCAAATTTTGTGCTAATTTTCAAAGCATGCATCGGAATAGTCTGGTTAGGAAGATTTCTTTACTCAAAACTGAAATGAGGACTGAAGCATCAAGAATCAACCTTTTGTGATTGTTATTATTTTTGAAAGAGAAAAAAATTGCATGATTCCATACGAATACTTTTCTACTCAACAAATGAGAATCAAACCCAAAATCATTTCAACAGCAGCATCTGATATATGTTTGCATTCAATGAGAACAGAGCACAGCACCCTATCAATGACACCCTTATAATGAATATTTTTCCGTGGCTTTTCTTCGACAATCCAACCATCCGGTAGTTCAAATGAAGAGGTATTTCTGAAATGTGAGATCCTTTCCGTGGTGTGGACCACAATTTGCATCTGCAGTAGCATAATTACCACAACTTGAGCATTTTTCTCCATTGTTCGGTATTGTCTAGTAATGCTACCTAAATTAGAGCAGAACATAAGAGCAAAACTGAAGGTTATTGCAATCTGTTGTGATGTGAAGCTCCCTTAGAATTGTTTTCACATTTATCGTAGACTTTAGCATCATATCAGAACTCACATTTTTTCCATTGTTGGGCTCTTCGGTTAGGAAATTTCCAGGTTCTTCAATTAGATACTTCTTAACACTTGTCAAGGAACGAAATATCTTTCCAGTTCCAGGCTCATGGTAATACTGCACAAGAATGAAATTCCCGAGCATGTTGGTCAATTTATAAAAGTTAATAGAATATAAATTACTCAAGCAAGCTTTTCTTGGGTTTGTTTTTTTTTTTGCCCATCACACCAGCTTTAATATTCATGTATCAAGTAATAAGGCCGGAAGTTCATTTACAACATAGAGGGAGCACTCTAAAACAGAAAAAGATATCTCTGTATTCATCATTCATCATGCACAGATCCAATGGCTTTCAACATTTTTATATTCAAGGCCAAAGTTGGCCTGTTGAAGGTGGTAATTAAAGAAACCTTTTCTAATAGATACAGAGAAAGGTACTTAATTGAAATTCTTAATAAATTCAGCACTCTCCTATTTTTGTAAAACTACCATGCATTATAAAAATCATCAAAGCCTGCCTTGTGCATGTTTGCAATCATGCTACTTGGACTCCTCACCAATACTAAACTTTACCCTGAGTCCAAATTACCATGAAATGGCCCGAAAAGTATGACAGTTGGAGATTCGAAACTGCAACGAGATATGCAGACCCAAGTGAGACATCCCACATATTAATCACAAAAACTTGATTCAATGAAGTAAAACAGTCTATCTATACTCATAACTGAGAAAGACCTACTCCATTCTAAATACAACTATAATCTGTCCAAACATTGGAGTTCATTCTTCATCCCCAAGCTCTACCGAGTCCACCCATAAGAGGCAAACTCCAATTAGCACTTTCTCATGGGCATTATTGGCCTAAAATCACCACAAATAATTGGCTACACTGCTTGAGTCAAGTTTAAAACAGACAATTCAAAATAGATTGTCATAAAAAATTGGCCACACTGCAAATTGGTAGCCATTTGCAGGCTAACAATAACATAATCAAGATTCTAATAGATAAACATAATCAAATTCCTAACGAGTATACGCATAGACACACATTTCAAAGAAGAATAATACGGCAAATAAATCTCATAACAAGGAACATAGTAAACAGATAAACAAAGAAATGCTGTTTATGCAACCACTATACTCTCAATTCTGAGAAGAAACAAAATTAAAAATGAAAAGAAAGAAAAAGAAGAGGCGAGTTCATCATAGTTACCTTGTCTACTCGAGCTGGGTTAAAAGCGGACTTACGGCGGCGTCGTTCCTCGACGACCCAATCACTGGGAAGCTTGAAGTCCGAATTGGAGAAGGAAGATGCAGGATCCACAATCTGCAATTCCCGGTTGCTGCAGCTACGATCAGCGTCTTCACCTCTTCCTTGGCCAGGCCGTATGATTTGGAGCGGAATTGGCATCGTCGTCGAGGATTTGCGCTTCATTGTTCAAAACCCGGCACGACTCCGGCAACGGAGATAATTTGCAGACTGCCGTTTTCTTCTATTGGTAGCTGATTTTGATTCAATGGTTACCGATTTGGCATCTTCCTCACAGTCTGTACTGTGTACTGCCAAGCCACCATTCTAGAATGCGTTTTGCTTTTATTTTTAAAGTTTGTAAAAATAAATACATAGAAGTTTAAAATAATTTAAAAAGTAACAAAAAAATAAAACATTAAATCATTAAAAAAATCTATCAAACTTAGATTGTAAAAAGTTCCTAATCATATACCATATTGTAAAAATAATATTATAAATAAAATAAACTAATAAAATAGAAGTTATTTGAAATAGTTATAAAAGGGGCTTTGTGGGGTTAAATTAAAAATAAAAATTTTGGGAAAAAATGTAACGACCCTGAAAATACCAAATGAAATAAATTATAAATTAAGTGCAGAAGCGAAATAATTAATTAGGGATTACATTCTTTACACAATAACTTAAAGTACCAAATAGTATTACGGGAATTACCATTTTGAAAAAAATATAAAAAATTAAAGAAATAAACGAAAAATAAATAAAATTAGGATCCTACTCGCAACCCTCTTGCAGATCGGGTTCTGAATCCTGGTACTCTATATCTTAAATGGTTAATAAAAGAATGAGCTACACTACCTCAGTAAGAATATCACGCTACTTACCGACATATAATTGAAGGTTAGTAGAGAAATCAAAACAACTAATAAAGCTCTTAATTAAGCAAATTCATTTATCAAAAATAAAATCATTTATCATCTACTTAACATAGTGAGATTTACAAAATAACTTATAGAGATAATAACATAATACATATCATGATTTCATATACAATTGGTTTGAACAATAATTTTCTCTTTTTATCAGCATATTGGTATCCATGGGGATTTATAAGGATGTCTTCACAGCGCATGAACCATTTCCTTTAACATTTTTCATTAACGGGTCGTCCGGTATGATCGTCATATTACTAAACCTCAATATCTCGTCCGGTATGATGTTGAAATGGGTCGTCCTCATATCTCGTCTGGTATGAACGCCAAATTACTAAGTCTCGATACCTCATCCAGTATGAAACAACATTCACGGTAGGGTTTCCTATGTACCCAGTCCGTTCACCATCTCTCAGGATATCCAGTAAGGCTGTCGTTTCATCTATTCACTTAAATCACACAATTTCTCGTTTACCTTTAATCTCCAGTTTCTAACTTCAAACATAAACACATAAAACAAACAATACATGCATTCAAAATTATAAAATCGATCAATCAGATATCATCATACATTCAAACTGTAAAATCAATCAACAGAATCAATAGTGAATAATTTTTTATTATAGCTCCATTAATAACCTGTAATTAATTATGGATATTTTTTAAATTGCACAAAATATCGTATTATTGTTAATTTGGCTTCAATTTCATAACAGAGAATAGGATTAGGGATTCTTACTCAATTCGATGCCTGAAAAGCTAAACTTGTTGATTTCACCTATTGGCGGTCCCCGGGTTCTCTAAATTTTTCTTCGGGGATTAAAATGCGCTACAAGTACCTACAAATATCTCCCAAAAAATTCAAAATCAATGTCAAGACCTCTTTTTAGCCAATTATAGAATTTCGGCACTACAGCTCCATCGTGCTCTGGCGACAGCACCGCTGCTTGCGGTGGCAGTTTACTTCGGGTCGGCTATTTTTTACTATTTTCAGCCGAATTTGGCCAGTTTTGCATCAATCCCTACGAGAAAGTACATTAAGGGGACTCGGTTGACTGAAAAAAATGAAAAATTGAAACTCACCAGTAGCGGGATTCTTCGGTGCGGCGGCTTTGCCGCGAAAATTATCTATTATTATTTCTGTTGATTATTTTTACGGTTTGAATGCATGATAGTATCTGACTGATTGATTTTATAGCTTTGAATGCATGTATTAATTGTTTTATGTGTTTATAGTTGAATTGAAAAAAATGGAGATAAAAGGAAAACAAAAAATTGTATTTAATTCAATGAATGGATGAAACGACAGCCTTACTTGATATCTTGAGAGATGGTGGACGGATTAGGTACATAGGGAACTCTATCGTAAACGTTGCCTCATACCGGACGGGGTATAGAGGTTTGGTAATTTGGCACTCATACCAGATGGGGTATGGAGACGGCCCGTTAATTAGAAATATTAAATGAAAGGGTTCACGCGTTGTGGGAATATCTCTATGAACTCCCATTGATACTAATAAGCTGATAAATGATAAAATTGTTATTCAAATCGATTACATATGAAATTATGATTTGTGTTATGTTATGTTATTGTCTCTATAAATTATTTTGTAAATCGTACTATAGTAAGTAGATGGTAAAAGATTTTATTTATGATAAATGAATTTGTTTAATTAAGAGTTCAATTAGTTGTTTTAATTTTTTTACCAACTTTCATTTATGTGTCGGTGAGTAGCGTGATATTCTTACTGGGTTAGTGTAACTCATTCCCTATTTAACAATTTTATATCAAGAAGTTTAGGATCCAGAGTCCGATTTACAATATGGTTGCGAGTAAGATATCAGTTTTATTTATTTTCTGTTTATTTCTTTAATTTTTTGTATTTCTTTCAAAACGATATTTTCTGTAGTATTATTTAATTCTTTAAGTTATTGTGTAAAGAATATAAATTATAACTAATCATTTTACTTTCGCACTTAATTTATAATTTATTTTCTTTAAAATTGTGGAATATATATTTTTTATTTGTATGAAATTTTTAATTTTGACATCACAGCTTACGGTGGTATGATTGCGTATGATGGTTAGTCAATCGTGACTCATGAGGGAGTAGATTTCCATTTTAAGTCTTTTTGTTTCGGCAGTTGAGATGTTCACATAATCTCATCATATTACTTACATACATACATATATATATATATATAGATGTAGAAAGTTTGTGGCAATTACATTATACGACCAAAATAAAATTATATCCAAGAAAAATTACCCATAAATTGTTTAAAATATTGCGAGTGTCTAAATTTTATATGGGCAAAAAGATACACACATGACTATATTGTCTAAAAAATACATTGAATATATACATATATATATATATATATATTAAGAGTTGATTAAACTGAGTTTTCATATTAAGAGAGTTAAAGAACAAAATTTGAATATACTAACTTCTGTAATTCACAAGTAGTATTATTAATTTTGATTATATATCAAAGGTGTGTATGTATATGTACGCATTGAATATTCCATTGCTTTAACAATCAAATTCCAAATTTCGACTTATTGACCAACAATAAGTTTTTAGGTGGGTATTTAAGAAAATAAAAATAGATTAAAATTCATATTGGAAAAATAAGAAAATAAATTTTATTAGAACGAACCTGCAACATTACACTGGAAAGTTATTAGCTTTTATTATTTTGCAATAAAGGGCTGATATTATATATGTATATATATATTAAATAACCCACTTTTATATGGATATCAATAAATTTTTACCAACATAAAAACTATGCACGTATAAATTTAAAGAGTAATTAAATTTGTTAGTAATAATCAGCATGCTTTTTATTTGTATTTTTTTTTAATTAGAAAAGGAAACCACCTTATTTTTTGGTTTTCTAATTAAGAATAATTACGGTAATTAAGAATTAATTAATTTGTAAGTAATCCAGCTAATCGTGTCATTTAATGACGCCGAATTAGCAACAACGACGTACGATTGCCGACAAAATGAACAAAAAGCAGAAGAATAATATTTAATGTTCTCCTCCTTTTCAAAATCACGACTCCAGGTGCTTAGCTTTTCAACATTTTTCCAACCACACGCGGTTTTCTTTTTATCTTTTACCAACCACCCAAAAAAGTACCCCGGAAAGTTGACGTTTGACTTTTATATGCTTTTAGAAAAAAATTATGTCCGATGCTTATAATTTTACTTCATTCTTTTCTTGTGTTTAGTAAAATTATTGTGATTAAATTTTATCAAGTTTCGGTAAAATTATCGCTAAATTTTAATAAACGGGTAATTAAATTAGATTAAATCTTAGTAAAATTATTACTTTTTTTGAGTGTATAAAAATAAACTTCTTGTAGCGGCTAAATTTTATTAATTGGGTAATTTAATTGGACTAAATTTCGGTAAAATTATTAACGTTTCGAGTGCATAAAATAAATATTGTGTGGTACCTAATTTTTATTTGTTGGAATAGTTACAACAAGCTAGACATGATGTAATCTTTTTAATTATTGAATTAGTTTCAATATGTTATTGTTGGAAGATGGTGAGTGTTATGTGAGAGAGATGAGAGTTGTGATTGTGAGTGTGTGAGTTGTGATATTTTGAATAGACCGTGGGAGGTAGAAGAAGAAGGAAACCGGTGTGTGAGTTATGTGAGAGAGAGAGAGAGAGGAGAGTTCATGATTGTGTAGGGGGTACTTAGAGTGGATTGTGGAAGAGGGAGATGATGAGTTCGGTGTGTG